GCTTGCACAGTCAGTGACTATGTAGTGTGAAAGGAAGCAAAGACCTTTAAAGGACACAGCATTTTGATCAAAAGAGAGAAAGACTGGAAGTAGCCACTCTGCAAGAGGAGAAGAAAGAGTAAAGAATGATGTTACAGAAATAAAATCTATTCATTACAGGAAACAAAGCTCCTTTTTCATTTTCTTTAAACTGTCTTCTCTTCATCTGTGTTTTTGACAGCATCCATCACTTTGATAGTCGATCACAGCATCTAACTATCTAAATCTCTTCCCTATGGAGCTTCTTTTGTAATGTTACCCTAATAAGATGCAAAGCTTACAAGTCCAAAGAGTGACAAATTTTCAGCATGTATTCTGCTGCATGTTAAAAACACAGTAGATGCCGAAGTACAGCCTGACTTCCAGCACAGGTAGCAGCATGAAGCTAGAAGTGTGAGACAAGATATTTAGGCTTTTAAAGAATCTGCTCCCTCAGTTTTCTTTATTATGTATACATTTGCATGGGAGCCACAGAAACAAAAAACAGAGTTTGAAAGAAACATGAAATTATATATACACAAAAATACTTGCTCCCTGAATGTTAAACATACAAACACACAAAGGGCTCTTGATGATGCCTCTGCAGACAATGAGGCATGCTAGAGAGGGAAGATGAGGTGCTCTGGCCCAGTCACAATATTGAATGAGAAGAGCAGAAGAAAAAGACTCCCCTAGGTACCAGAGAAGAATTTGAACTAGCTGGTGCAAATTTCTGAATTAACAAAACAGATGCAGATGTTCCTCTTAAACAGCTCTTCTGGCTTTCAACTGTGGTGAACTCCAGTCCCTGTCCTAGCCATGGCCAGGAATAAACACAGTGTCTCAGCTGTTGTTGGACTCTGAGCAGCAGCAAATCCTTTCATTTGTTTCTCAGTCCTATCATGTGAATTATGGATGAATCCTGCCTAGGCCTGCTGAGTTTTGCATGGAAGTGGACTACAGAGCACACAAGATGCCGTCTTCTGTATTGACCAAGAAATTTCAGTGTTGCAGACAGAACTATCAATTACCAGAAGAACAGAAATGAGCAGATTTATATATAATGCAATAGCTAGGAAAAAAAGTACACATAAATAGTAAAGGCTTTAGAAAAGTAAAGGTTTGTGCAAGTCCCTAGGACACCTCTCTGGAAAGAATTTATCATATTTGAATGCAGAAAAACAAGAACTCCTCCCTGATTTTACATACACTGATATATACTGATCAGTGCCAGATACCTCCTTCTCTAAATATCTGTGGAAAGATTGGTTTAATAGTTTGCCAAGGCTGCATTTTTCTTAAATGCTGCAACTTTCTTGACTGAATTGTGATCCAAAAAAAAAATTACTCTTATTAATAGACTCACAAATAGGCTTTAAGCATTTGCACGAAAATACTGAAACACGGGGATGTAATATGCATAAAATACTAGTTAGAAACAAAACTCCCAAAGGAAAAGCTCCCTGATGCTCTATTAGGGACTTAGAAAAAATATTTTCAAGTTCAACCCCCAGCTCTCGGTATAATAGAAGATACATTTCACTGTAGGCTTTGTTGCTTTAAACCCAGCATAACTCAGCTAAGGTTGACAACACAGCTAGTCATGGTCACTGAAATAGTCCAAATCACTGAAAAAGCATCACCGTCTCAAACTCTGTGAAGCCTTTTAATACTGACAGTACAATACTCTGGGGAGCAATAGCATAACATGATATGGACTTCATCTGGACCAAGGAGGTAACAAATTGCCTTAAACTTTCAGCAAACATGCAAATTCAATCTGAGCAGTTTCTGAAGCATCCACAGTGCTTGCACGCATGCGTGTGCCCTGTTTGTGCAGTGCAGTGCTGCTAACTAGCAGTAACTGAAGAGTTACATCTTTCTCTTATTACAAACTCCACAATTGAAATACTATTGCTAATTATACAGATCACATAAAAAAACCCCTAATTCTGAAATGCAAATTCAAATGCAGCCTTTATGCCTTTTGAGGTTCTGCTGTTAAGTACAATCTCTAAGAATCTGACATTGTATTTAGGTTGCACTGTACATCTCAGCATGCTCGATATAGAAGAGCATCTCTCCTTATTGATGCTAACAGGATCTCAGAGGATTCACAGCCAAGGAGTGCCAGGACTTTATGAATGATAAATATCTTGTCTGGGACTGAGTGAATGCGTTTTGTATCACTTCCCACTGGCTATGCCACAACAGCCTCAGAAAGCCAATCTAGCTTTGCCTGCAGATTTGAAAAAAACAACTTGCCATATATCATTTCTATGTATATTTGCTCATAAAAAGCCTCCAGGAAAATATGTCTAGCAACAAGAAATTTGTTGATTCTCCAGCTGACATCAGAAACACTGAAGGGCAGTATTAGGCAGAAGAGAATTAGTACCAACCTGTGTGTGGGTTGAGAAGGATACTGCCAGGCGGTATCCCTGCAGCTTCAAGAGGAAGAATGATATAGCTGGTGTTGCTGGGGGCCACCTGGCCACTCATCCCATTCTCAGGGTAGGACACACTGCCTGAAGAGCTGGCTGTCACCCCAGGGACAAGAGATGTACTTTGGAGAGGCTGATGTATTCGTGACAGTGATCCTGAGGAGCCAGCGCTGCTGGAAGACTCTGAGCCTAACAAGGAGACACAACCAGAGCAGGAGAGAGGGTTACAAGGGACGCCAGTCTTCATCAGACAGGCAGCATACACAAGGACAGGCTTCACAGACTGCAAAGGCATGCACCACTCCATGCCCAGCTAGTAGGAGCAGGTTTTTCACTCCGTACTGAGCCCAGTATCCAGTGGTAATTTTTACAATACAAAAGACCACTTTCCTCCTGCAACATCTGCTTCCCCCCAGCCAGTAAACAGACTTACCAAAGAGAACACAAAATGTATTTATAATGTCAAAGTATTGATTCATAAGTTATAAAAACTAGAGTGTTTAAACATAAATGAAAAAAACCTTAACCAACAAACAAAAATGTAACACAAAAAAACACCAAACATTTTCTGTAAGAAAAAAGGCAACAGCAACTGAGTTGCCAGACAAGCTGTGCAATACATGTACTAACTTCAAGCTACCTAAGACACTACATAAGACTTGGGTGTTCCAGCACCCAACCTATTAAAATTGATCAATCAAGATAAATCAAATGTGCTAAACCACATTTGTGCCTGGAAGGATGGGGAGATGCATTTTAAAAGCCAAATATAATTTCCAAACTTCTGAGATACTACTTGATTAGAGGGAGATGCATTTTAACAGCCAAATATAATTTACAAACTTCTGAGATACTACTTGATTAGATTTCAATTTGCTTCACATAAAAAAGACAATCATCTTTGAGAGTACAAGGCTCAGGTGAACAGCTTCCTTAAAGCAGGGTGTTTTCGATGCTTCCTCCATGAAGCAAAGTATGTTTTAATTGCAACTTCTTTGATTTTATTTCTGTGCACTGTCTATGCATCTAAATCTATAGTGCCCACATACAGGTATAGAGTAAAAGAAAAGACAGAACACAGGCTTAAGTTTTAGCAAACTTCTTTGAGGGCAAATGATACCCTTTCAGATATGAGATACTGTAGGTGGACCCTGCTTAGAGCCTCAATTTTGTTTTCAGTCATATCCATACTGAAATCCATTTATTTCCTCATATTTAGAATGAAACACATTCCTTCTGAAGAAATCACACCAGCATCCCATTACTTAACAGATGGTCTTTCCACAGGTTACTGCAGGTTGCTCTGTAAAACGCATTTTTTTATCCATCCTTTAAGTATTCATACAGCAGCTACTACAAAGACAAGTCCTTTTTATGGGCTGTGCACTATATGCCATCAGCAGGACCCGAAATCTCCGGTATCTAATGAAGAAAGTAATCAAGATTTCAGAATTTTTGAATTTCTATAAATACACTTCGAAGTTGTATTAGTTGCTATATTTTTTCCCTGCTTGTAGGCTGAGGTCAGAAATTTAGAAATATTATTCTTGTAGGAATAATTTTATTTTTGGATAATTTCAGGTTTTTTGCAGAGTTATTCCTGGAGGTCATACTCATCAGGCTGCCAGCAGTATTTGGAATCTTTATCACAATTGTAAATGCAACTGCTGGAGTTTAATTTTCCTTTTACATCAATTACCAGGTCCTGTCCTGCATTTCCTTGGCCTTTCTACATGTGCTTCAGGTTGCTTCTTTGAGTTCTTGCTTTACTTTTTCCTCTTTTCCTTCACTTTTTGAATTCAACAGGTCAGAAAGTGACATGGAGATGGTAGTCATGATGAGATTTCATAAACCTCCCATCATTTCTAAGTGTGTAAGAAGTATCAAGCACAAGTTCAGACTTCTCTCTCCCCTTTCTGTGCTGTTAAAGACTGCAGTTCTGACATTCCATTGGTTTTTTCCCTTTGCCCCATTTCAGCTGTTTTTATGGCAGAACCATGGATTGATTTAAACCAGCTTCCAAATGATAAAAGCCAGAAAACTGCAATGAATTCAGATGTACTCATCAAATGATAGGTAGAAGCACTTCTTCTAGATTATTCTATCATTTTCTTGCTGCTTCACAGTTGACATAATAATAACCTTCACATTCTCATCACTTTCCATTAATATATTTTTTAAGTATTCTGAGAGATACAGCCGTTCAAAGAGCTGTAAAAGAAAAAGAGACAGAAAATTCTCCACAAATGCTTAATAGCTTAGAGGGTTTGCAGAGGGAGAGCATGGCGGTACCATTAATTTTCCAATATTCTAAGCACAAGTGAGTGATGTAACATGTCTTGCTCTATTTCCTTTGGGTCAGTACTCAGTATCTGATGACTTTGAACTTCTCTGCTCATCCCACCTTCCAAGTCTGAGGCAAATTTCTCCTTTCTTATCAACTACACTCTCAAGATCTATCCACTACTTACTCCGCAGTCAATTTTTCAGAAACAGTAGAGCTCCAGAGATATCTTTGCCTTGGATATCATTATTCAGATTAGAAATATTTATTTGCTACTTCTGTAAGTAACTTGCCTTTCTCTATATAACAACATATTTAGGGTGATTTTCATTATAATGGTACATGCTTACTATAATACAATTATTTCTCAGCAAGCTGCACTTCTAAAAACAAAACTGATGTTTCAGCATAGTCAGTTGGAGGGAAGAGTATGACTGGAAGCAGTTGGCTCATAATTTATTGCCCATATATCAATATTCTGACAGTTTCTGTTGGATTTACAAGATCCATCAGACTAATGTCTGACTGAAGAAAATAATAAAAAAACAGAAATCCAGTTCCACAACTCAGAGAAAAAGTTATAATATACAGGACATTTAATTTTAAAAAAAATTTAAAAAGAAAGTTAATGTATTGAAATGCCTGCAGTATAATCATCTTTCTCCAGGAGTAGCAATGAACACTTAACAGTAGAGATTAGACCGTGTCTCCGATTACTTGGAGCCCTGCCAAGGAAGTTAATGATCCCTACAGATCTGTATCAACACAGCTAATATCCCAATGCAGTCAGCTTTTTGTAAATGAGGGGGAAAGAAATACACACCAACAGATGTGCATTCCACTGAATGGAAAATGCATTAAGAGAAGCTAAAGGTGCAATAGTTACATCTATTAAGTCTTCCAACAATTATTTAAATAGTTATGTAGATACACAGAGAACATTTCTTTGAAACACGGCTTGTCTCCCCTCATAATAAACTGTATTAAAAACTGTTGTTCTGTGTCAGTGACAACAACGTGATAGTTGATGAGCTAGGTTTTCTCTTCATGGGTGTGCTGCAGACTAAACAGGTATAAATTTGTCCCCCTACAGGGACAACTATTTCACTTACCACTCTACACATTTAGTCAGCCTTGGAAAGTCCACTACATTACTAGAAATCTAAACCAACCAATATTTTGTATGATGTATGATATTTTGTAGGAATGCAATCTGACTGCAATTTGTTGAAATATTAACTCCCCATCAAATATTGAATTATATCTTAAAATATCTCTGCATACCAACTAAGCTTCAGAATAAGAGAAGAAAATTTTACTTGCAATATATAATCTGTGCTTTTCAGTAGAATAGGGTTTTCTAAACAATCAACAGGTGAAAAAAGTAACCATCAGAACCAGTAAGATAACCATGTAATGGGTTTCATACAGACCCTTTTGTGAAGTTTGCAAAAATGAAGTAACAAAATTTCTTTGCTAAGCTCTGATTCCTGTGCAGCTGAATGCAACTAAAGTTAAGACTAATTGACACTACTGGACTCTACTGCAGAGATCAGCATGTTCTATGATCTCTTTGCCTAAGGGAAAAATAACATCTTTCCATGCTTCAGTTCCTGCTTGCTTGCTATGTACCATTAATTACTGATTTATCAGAAGTTAAGGTTAAGGGAGGAACATCTAACTTTTGTGACAATATTAAAAGGGATCTAGAAAGGCTACAATGCTAGTATTACATCACTGTATATACTCTCAAAGGAAGGTGTGAGCCATTTGTGAAAATCCTGAAAATTTTAATAATCCTATGCTCAAGCAGAGTGTTTATCAATGCTTCCGGATGACTGCCATGTATGTAGAATAATTTCCACATTTAAAGAGGGCACAAATATTTTCCATCATTTAGCCAATGAAGAATGTTTTTATCAGCTAAAGACTTCATACTGATTTCATACATACTATATGCAAGATTAGAATGTTTTAATTTATTACTGTGAATCATAAAACCCTTCAGAGAACAAACTAGGATGTTCTGCAGAGAACTGGGATGGAATTGATGTCTACAAGGCTTTGCCATGCTACCAGGGCAATGTGCCTAATGTTTGTAGATACATCTCTGCAATTCCATTTCAACTACTGTAGTAAAGACAAATAAAATAAAAATCACCCAGAATGAAAACATGATCAACCTGAGCTATAGAACACCAAGGCTGCCTATGGCCAGAGTACAGAGTAATGAAATATAATGCAAAACATGCACAATGAAGTGTCACTTGGCACTTAATGCACTCAATAGAGAACAAATGCAAATAGCATGTCAGGGCTTTGACAGCTGTATGAATGCATTCAGCATTTTTTGGTAAAGGAAAAACACTTTATCGAGACATATTTCCCCACTCTTTTTTGAACAGTCATTCTTTGCTGCTTTAATACAATTCAATAGCATTTCAGAGAGAAGGACAAAAATAGTGATTTGGATACTATTTTCTATGACTTTTCTCAGGCTGACTGACAGTTTGACTTTGCGTCCTGGCTTTGAAGGTGTATGTTAGTTTGGACATTCAGTCTTGCTCTTCCTTTTATTTCGGGGTTTTTTTTTCACTCTTTCTGTGTCTCAACTAGCTTTCCAATTTAAACATGCTTCTTACAAAAAGTCAAAGCACTTACAAAAGATCATGGAATTTTAATATCACTGATGTTTTAAAAATGTATTATAAGAACTTTCATTTGAAAGCAATTTGGGGTTTGGTGCATACGGAGTGCAGATGCATTTGCAAGTACTGGCATGCTTTAGAAGTCTCTCCTTTAATATATTTCCTAAGTGCATCGTTTATTATGCTTGATTTTAACACTAAAAGGGCCACTTAAAAATATTACTCTTGCAATTTCATGTCTCCTCCAAACCAGATTT